TACATCAGCAAATACCAATTATTTGAATATCGGCTACATCAGTGAATACAAATTATTTGAATATCGGCTACATCATTGAATACCAATTATTTGAATATCGGCTACATCAGTGAATAACAATTATTTGAATATTGGCTACGTCAGCAAATACCAATTATTTGAATATCGGCTACATCAGCAAATAACAATTATTTGAATATCGGCTACATCAGTGAATACCAATTATTTGAATATCGGCTACATCAGTGAATACCAAATATTTGAATATCAACTACGTCAGCAAACACCAAATATTTGAATATCGGCTACATCAGTGAATACCAATTATTTGAATATCGGCTACATCAGTGAATACCAATTATTTGAATATCTATGACGTCTACCTGAGTGTCATTTGTTGGACCTACGATGAAACGTTCATCTGAGTGTCACTTTTTTGAACACGCTCTCGATATCACATCCAAGTGTTATTTCTTCTGACATACACTTGAACGTTTTTCTAGTGTCATTTTTGAACATGTACTGGGACGTACACCCAAATGTAATTTTTCAGACATGCACTTAGATACACTAGTCAATTTGGTGCATGCTTTATTTGCTTACATTAGTGAAATATGGTATACTGGGCGGCTATTTCCGTCATTCATAGCGACAATAAATGTGATTTTGAACGTTTTATATCCACATAAAGATGACCAAATCTTACCGGAATTTTGCTTATGGCTAATATCACATAAAAAGCTATGTGAAAACTGGGGATCGAGTACTAGTAGTCGCCATTTCGTTGCAATCGGTCACGTGATGGAACCATAGAAAATTATGACACACGATGCATACAATGTGGGGAATGACACATAAAATCATCAGAGAACGGCTTAGCCCCTCAAAATAACGACTTATTTGACATTTCATGACATTTATTGTACCGTAATCCATCCGATCCATGAGAAATTAAATTTTAATAATGGCGCCCTCTGGAGACCTAGACGCAGACCGGCGGGTTGTTTTCATTTGCAAGTGATTTAAAGCGCGGTGGTCGTCGCGCAGCGCTTGTTCGAATTTCATGTAAATAAACAATGTATTTTACACGCGTTGTATACGTCGCTATGAGTTCCATATCGAACAGAGCGCGGCACGACGACTGCCGACCTTTAATATACAACGCCGGTATTGCGCACATGTTTCGGCATATTGGCGACGACCGTTACAAATTTACATAATGACACAGGAAGTTTTTTATTGAAAATAAAAAGAAGAACAAATATCGATAGTTACAGCTATTTCTATACCATAGAAACAGCGGTGCCAATGTGATTATAATTTTTGAGGTGGGTAGACTGTTATTTCCGGTAGAAAGCTTGATTAGAATTGTCAATGTACAATGTACCTGAAAACTTTCGTCCTTTATTATTTCCTGCCGCCCAGAGGTCCCTCTTACATGTTGAATATTCCCCCTTTCTCGTTAGCAGTATGGTTACACGAATCAGTGGCGGATCCAGAGGGGAGGGCAGGGGGGCCATGGCCTCCCCAAACGCATGACGATTCATATTATCTAGATTACGCATAGCTTTTCTGCGATTTTCGCTCCGTATATCTTAAGCGAAGCTTGCCCCCCCCCCAATACATTTTGCTGGATCCGCCACTGACACGAATGCAATCAACCAAACACTGTAGTATAATATGTCCACACTATTAGTTGCCTCGTTTACATAAATGTTGTTTTGTTATTAGACAATACTCAAGGTTTCTTTTTTGTACGTTCCAAATAAAAAGATCTAAGTTATAAATATACAATTTTAATGCAATGCATGACTTGGGCCAGGAAAACTGATTCTGAGTTTCTACCTTATTCAATCTAAATTACTGTCAACGTGCCCTGAAATTTAACATGTGGAAATACTCGTGTGTTGAAAATTGTGATAACTGTATTACCGTTTAATAATACATTAATAAATTACAAATCTGGCAACCCTTGCTTCAAAATAAAATTACAAATCTGACTAAATAGTGAATTACTAATCTCAAAGCTGGGAATTACAATGAATTTACCAAATAAAGAACAAATAGATTACAGCAAAAATAACTGTTTCACCAATATCAATCGCCCTCTATGGCGACCTTGAAAGTAAATGCAAACTGTCTAACTGCATACAAATTATCAATAATTACATAGAATTACAGGAAGTAAAAGTTATCAATGTAAGTTTAATAGTAATTTATTAATGTATTAATTTTCAACACACGAATATTTCCACGTGTTACAAAAATATATATCGACGCACGCAGTATTAAATGCAGTCACGTCATTGTTTAACGGCTAAACGATCAACCGTTATGAACTTGAATCGCTATAGTGACTGGCTGGTCGCCACTTCAAAATTACTGCAGTACTTAATGGGGGTAACTATTTGTATGTAAACAGATTTGCGAGTGGTATCAACATTTGCAGACCACATCGTTGCCCTTTTGAGATATTCCGCTAAATTACAAATGCGCCCAAGGCCTCGTGTTATCGTCACTCTGCGCATGTACGGTTAGTTCTTGTATCAATCGAGTGGTTGGTTAGGTAGGGCATTCATTATCTCGGTTCGTCCTGTTTATTCATGTCCCAACCAAAACGCACGAATGCCTATTATTTTCTTGTCATCGCCGTCTATTGTGTTGCCTCAACAAAAGAACCTATCCTCCAAAGTGCTTTGTTCTATACTGGATACCGGTACAGCCAGGTCACAGAGGCCACTAAGCTTGTCAAATGATTCGTAACGTTGCTGACGGTACGAATCATCTAGTGGCTTATGAGTTGCGATAGTACTCTATTTATTTGCACTTTTCAATGTTAATTTCTGTCCAGGATTTTCCTACGCTTTGTATCATGTGATTATTCATCCTAGGAGACGATGAGAATCGATGAATGGAATCAGTTTTTACGGAGTGAAAACTCTTGCTGTGCTTGGACCTTGTGCTCACTCAAGACTAAACTAATGAGCTGTCTACCGTAGATATAACTAAAAATATGGAGAGTTACTTATCGCCAAGACTGAAAAGATATCGATCAATATCGAAAGCCAATCAACCGGTATCAAGGAGTATTGATGGTCCACATTATACCAACTTGCAGAACGTTCGGTCGGATATCAGGAAATTATTAGCAGGTTGTCGTGACTCTGCCGTCGAAAGTGAAGAGAGGTTTAACAAGAAGTTCCAGAAAGACGCACTAGAAAAGGCAGTTGGAAGAATTTATACCAAAGACAGTATTAAAAGAAAATTCCCGCTTATAGACTCCGTCAATACTTTAGAAGAGCTGCTAACGACGTTAGAACTGCGGCAGTTGAGGGGAGTGGACAAAAACGCGCGAACCGTGGTAAAGCATTTTTACACATTGTGTACGGATACAGTGAGAAATATTAAAATATGCTGGGATCGGTTGGTTGATATCTGTAAAATACTGAATAGGTATTTTAGAGTCTATGAGAAGTTTGATGAGAAGGCGAACACAGGCCACCTGCTTGTACGACTTCAGAATTTGAGAACATCGCTTCCTGTTAAATGTAAAAGTATCGCCGAATTCATTAAGTTACAAGAACATGACCCCGAGGATCCCGCGACTGGCTTCACGAGTCTTTCACAAAAACATACAGTCGTCACACAGCAAGAAGGATCATCAACTAGCGATTTATTCGAACCCATACTTCAGTTTTTTCGCGATATATTTCTCAAGATAAACGAAGCTTTCGATGTCGTTGACAAATGGCTCGAAGAGGACGAACATTATGTGGAGTTACTCGTGAAGGACCGAAAAGAAGTGCGCTTCGAGAGAAAGACTCTGCATCGGAGTATTGTGATGGAACAGCGAGAACTTGGCAAACTGAGGGTTTCCGAGGACGTGAGGGGCGCAAGGAAAACCCTGAAGCGTTGAGCATAGAAATAAAAAGTTTAGAGAATGAAAAGAATAGTATTACTGAAGAAATATTTCAGATGGAAAATGACTTAGAATCTATTCGTATAACGAGGATGAGATTGAGTTATGACTTCGAATCAACTGGAAAGTTGGCCTCGACTGGCGAATCGATAGAAGATATAGAAACTGTGACTAGTCTCAGCAAACAAATAAACGACCTAGCCAGGAAAGCCACAGAACTGGAAAGCACGGTAACGTCGTTGGGGTTCCGACTAGAGAGGGTGAAAAAACAGCTAGCGTTGAAACGACAACAGAGAGACGCTTTAGAGTACAAGTATAGACGACTGACTGGACTTGAAGAACGACGGGTGGAACTTCAGAAGAGAATTAAGGCTTTCCAGTCGGCATTGCACCGGTTAGACATAAAAGTAGAAAAGTTAGACAACATATTACAGAGAAAAATGCATTTATTGCAACCAATAATTAACGAAGGATTTATCTTGCAGTCCGACTTCCAAGGTAAGACATGGAACAGTTGGTGGATATCACATTCCCTGACAAGTAGGATTTTTTTTTTATAAACGACTATTCAAATTTAATGTCCCACAACGGGACTGAACCATTCAACGACGATAAGATTTATAGTCGCTATAAAATACACAATGGTCCTGTTGTCATGACAATTAATTCTATAGGCTCAGCAATTTGAGATATATCGTCTTCTTCAATACATGCCGAAAATGCCGTGTAATTATTGTTACCATGTATATACAACAGAAATATTGCTTTCTCGCACTCCTAAAATTTATTTATGATTGCGTTCATTTTCTTGTATACATACTACAAATAATATAACATAATTGTTTATTACAGCCGTGTGGTATTATTGTAAATGTTTGTAGCCACTTGGTTTTCATTCGAATAGTTTATTTCGCTCCAAAACAAATTCCATCCGTTCTACGTGCATATGTATATGTAAAGTCGTCTGCAGGACAACTCGGTGGGAACAGTATTTTCAGAAATCTTAAAGAATCGTCATCGCCCTTTATCTGGCTACAGCCTCGAGTACAAAGAGTAACGTGATAAAACAGGACATCTTGACCCAGTTGTGTTTACGTCGTCATGAAGAGGGGTGACGTAATATATAGGCATAGCCTTTCGCCTTGTGACCCGTTATTATGAGGATCATTTCAATCTTACTATAGTAAACGGAACTATGAATGGCGTTTCACCAAACTACTTGAATAGCTTGTTAATGTATTGTTGGTTGGGAACGTCAATTCAACAAGGTCACTAGTCTCTTTTGCGAATAATTACGAACACAATACCAACCACCACGTGATTGCGTACATCCAATTTCTAAGGCTCTGTTTGGATGTGAGTGATCTCAGCAAAACATATAGTGACGTGAATATATCGAATCAGACACGTGGGTTCGATCCTGATTGGTTCTAAACAACGTGCTTTGTGTGAGGCATGATTCAGACCACTTTATAGCAGATACACCGGGTTTCATGAAGTTGTAAATACACATTTATAAATAATTATAATAGATTTATCCGAGGTGTTTTCAATCGTCATTTGAAATGTATTAATATTTATGAATATTTTATATTAACCAGGTTCACCCCTTCATGAAACCCGGTGTACAAAAAAAAAAAACCCACTGCAAATTCCGTTTCTGTTTTATTGTCGGCATCATTTGTAATTTGGAAGTTTACAAAATGTTCTTAAATGATACGTTAAACGTCCAGAGGGGAAAATCCATACATACTGAATGTGTCATACTGGTCATCTCAGAGGGGAACATCCATACACACTGAATGTGCCATACTGGTCACCTCAGAGGGGAAAATCCGTACATACTGAATGTGCCATACTGGTCGTCTCAGAGGGGAACACCCATTCTCACTGAATGTGCCATACTGGTCACCTCAGAGGGGAACATCCATTCTCACTGAATGTGCCATACTGGTCGTTTCAGAGGGGAACATCCATTCTCACTGAATGTGCCATACTGGTCATCTCAGATGGGAACATCCATTCACACTGAATGTGCCATACTGGCCATCTCAGGTGGGAACATCCATTCAAACTAGATGTGCCATACTGGCCATCTACTTTCGACACTTGACTAATTATGATGAAGGGTACTAAATAAAATGGATGCCACAATAATTTGAAAATAAAGTCTTATATGAAACATACTTCGAACATAACACATGTAGCTGCTAGAAATGATCTCTATATAGTATTATTACACGTATCTATATGAAAATTTGAATACAAATCGTTTTTTACATTCTAGTGAGGTTCATGCCGCATTTATGTCAGTCCGCCCTTATGTTTCTCGTGCAATACAAACGACGACATAATATAATGTGTTATTGTTTTCACGCAGCTAATGTGACGCCATCATTGTCCATTACTGGTAGCGAGTTCAAATCACCAACGCCACTTATATTGAGTCCGAGTCCTGCTATTGGTGCACGGGACAGTGTGTTACCTGCCATTGGTCATAGTGTCGTTAGCAACAAACATATATCTTCTCAAGGTGAGTTCTTGTTTTTGGTGTTCGTGACAGTATGTTAGTATGATGTTGCCATTATGTCGCTAGCAACACAGTGTGCTACCATGGTGTTTGTCTGTTTTCCTACACATAGCTTTTCAAGGAAAGAATCATTTTTAAAATGGGCTATTATTTCTGAAAATATTTGAATACAACAATTTTTCCTGCCAAAATATTGGTATAACCTTTGCATATTTTTTTCTATAATTTATTCGTTAATTGTAATAATGTACGACTGAAATGAAATCAATGAAATTTTCTTCGCCCCTTTAATATTATCTATTTATGAAAATAATAAAATATGCTATGGGGCACTTATTCACATGAAATGAATGAAACTGACCTATATATAGCGTGAAATTACCCTTCATTACCTGAAACTCAACAACAAATCGAAAATTGGTCAAGTTCAAATTTAATGTAACTAGTATAATGAATGCAACCGACTCAAGTCAGGTCTATACATTTACAGCATAATGTACTTACTACTATACAATTGAACGTATAGATGGTCAGAGCTATACATTTACATATACGTATACTCTCTATAATGACATCATTATCTTTGCATATTATTTCAATCCAGTTTAAATTTTATATTTTAAAGTTTTAATAGTGTTTTCTTTTTTTAGTTACAAAGTCGCAAATATTGAACATTTTCTTTTACAGTAACGTCATATAAAATTTCACATTTTGAAGGGTGATTGTAACTCTTATGTTGATTTTTTGATCTGAATACTAATGAATGTTTTATTTCACAGGGCTAGAATCAGTATTCCAGTATCTTAAGGAAACTCTACCGATTGGCCGAGAATGGCCGAACATTTTTCGACGCCTGCCTTGGCCGAAAGAAATTACTTCCGACTTGGTGGAGTCGGAGATCGTGGATATTCGGAAAAACACTCGGGGTTTGAAGGAACAGGCCTATAGGTCATTCAAAGTTTGGGAAAATGTAGCTGGTTCCCTAGCAACGAAAAACAATCTAGTCGACGTGCTAGTAGAATGTAAATTGAATAGAATAGCTGAAACGGTTGTAAAGAAGAGATAACCGTGCTGGATTTATCTGTAATCATCGTAGTCAGTAATAATATTTAACATAATCATCATAATGAATTTGCATCAGATGTCATTGACCATGACATCACTTCCATTCAAAGATCAGAGCATCCCAGTTCATGAAATCAATTGTTAAATTATTCAAGTTCATTATATATACTATACGTATACATTCATCATTTGCATATTCATTTTCTGTTAAATACATGGTATATCGCTTTGGTTACGGTCGAAAAATCACTCACGCGCTTACATCTAAAAATATAGTATATCGCTTTGACTGTGTTTATTCAATCTAACACGTGCGTTATATTTAATCATGTTGCAAACCAGGGTTGTATTATAACTGCGTCCTTCAAAATGGTGTTATACTTGTACCTACTATTAGTGATCTTGTTTGTTAATGTATATGAATACGTGTAGCTGGCTTTTTTACTCACTGATATTCACACTAGTAGGGTGCGCATCGAATGGAATCACTGAAACGGTAATAAATAAAGCATATGTATGGTACATTTCATTTGCGACATGTACACCTATTGAAATGCACGTTTTCCTCTTTTGAACGTAGGTGTCGAACACTCTTGGCATAGAATAGTGATGAGTCAGCTTTTAGTGTCCAATCAAGCGGTGACAATTTGAGCGAATTCACTGCAACGCAGTAAAAAGGATAGATGCGTTTTTATTGATTCTACTACGTCTATATGTATAAAACTTGTCGAAACCGACCCCTTATGTCCACTCGGAGTAGCGGGAATTTATTTTTACGATGTAGTTGTTACACATGCTGCCCCTCCCTCGCCGTCCATGTTGTACAATACATCACAAAAGTCAGTCCCAGTGCATCAATAACTTTGGTTACATTGTACGTGTCTAGTCAGTACATTACTCCGTCCATGTTGTACAATACATCACAAAAGTCAGTCCCAGTGCATCAATAACTTTGGTTACATTGTACGTGTCTAGTCAGTACATTACTTCGGCATGTTGTTGGGTATGGAGGGTTTTCAAAGTAGTCCAGCATTTCAGATGCGACGCAGATTGAATTTAAAATGTTTATTTAGTAATGGTATGGATATTATACGGGTCAACTCGGTTATTGTTTAAAACCGACATTTTTTGACAATTTCACAATACACACAATAAAGAGATTATATTAATTAAATACTTGAGTCGAAAAATTGCAATAAACGAACCTCATATAATGATACACCTGGTAATTATTGTAACTATTAATATAAGCGTCACAATAAAAAGAAGTCGTAAATCGATAACAATGATTCTAACTTTTGGAATTTTAGCAAATCTCTCATGACTGACACTGTCATGTGACAAACTCGAATGCAGAAGTGTACTATTACAAATAATCACGAAATAGTTAACATAAAACACATACAACTTATTTTTGCAACATCTGTCTATCTCAATGAAACCACAATGCGTGATGCGGGGTCGGTGTAGCACACTGTTAGTAAACTGGCAAATAATAATAATACACGCGTTACAACGAGGTTGGGTGGGGGTACATGTTGTAACATGTTGCGTCATTGGTTATCGATTCAATCATATGTATTCGAAAAAAAAGATTTGTAAACGATTTACGGTATTCAGCTACAGCTATCTAGACCAGCCTATCAACTGTTGTTATACTGTTGAAAGTAGTACATGACAAATATAATAATCCATTACAGCATAATCTTTATTTTATTAACACTTGTAAATATATATCACTTGTTTGGACTGCATAAATACAGTATTCATAAAACGTAAATGTGAAAACGTCACATGGAATGAAATCATTCCATGTCAAAGCAGAATATTTACAAACGACAACAGAGTATATTTTCACTGCTGATAGTAAGCTCACTCTAGAGACAATCATATATTGTGTTTACGTCACCTAGGTTACAAAACACAAAAGAGCAAATTTCATACATAAACACAATGAAGTTCATTCAAGTTTGTGCCCCAAAGTGTTGGGCGCTACCTACTTGACCCGGCATAGATTTACCTATAATCTATTAATATTTAGTATGAATAGATTTGTATCTGTAATTCATTTCATACTTAGTATGAATGGATTTGTGTCTGTAATTCATTTCGTACTTAGTATGAATGGATTTGTATTTGTAATCCATTTCGTACCCAGTAATAAGTATCGATGGTTGTTCCTCCACTGCTTACGACAGTTTACAGAACACTAAACGCCTCTGAGGGCGCCCTACTATTACTTATGGATTTACTGCTTGCTGCTATCTGTTCTTGCATTTTGACAATGTCCTCGACGAGCGAGTCAAATTCACAGTTTCTAAGAGCGGTAAACAATTTAAGCTCCGAGGCCCGTGGATACGAACTCCTCCACATGAGCAGTCCTTGGTACGCCTGTTCTTTGAGATCATCTGAATTATTTTTCACAATTTCAACTATTTCACGTTCCAGTCTAGAATCGTCGAAGTGGGCTGGCCATGGCAAGCTGCGTAACACCGATTTCCAGTTCTTTGATATGTTTTTCTGTATATACACAAATACCTGCCTCAATCGATTAGCTGTTAAAACACAAACAATTCTGAGATGAATTTTCACATATTTACTCATTTCTACTTAATTTGAGAGTTATTTAATGTAAACAATGGAGATGTTGACTTGTTTGAGTTACGAACATCGATTTAAGAAAACTTTGAGTTACTAAATTTGAACGTTAAACAAAACAACAAATCTCGAAGTTCGGTTAACTGTTATTTAAAGTTCGAGTAACAATTTTGCCAAAACTGGACTGTTGGGTCAAATTGGTAAAAACTACTTCCGGAAGTTATCCCTTATGCTTCCACTGGGTTGAATAAATTTACACACGACTTCAACTTTCCACAAACTCGAAGTCTGTATGAACACAATAGTCATTGGCAACATGTACTTAGTGTGTACGTGACAATGTGTACGGTGTCGCCATCATGGAGAATGTCGCGTGCACAATTTTGAGCCCAGCCCGAAATTAAGTTTTGACACATTTTACCAACTTACTTTGACAAAATCGCCGAAACTACACCGCTTTGCTGAGCTTTGTTCTATAATTCTTAAGTAATGCAGACATTGACCTAGATTTGCATACAGTCGCTTGTTTGTTTTTCGTGTTTTTTTTTTCAATAAAGAAATATTAATATAATGTAATATGTATTAACTCATAATATATTACGAAGAAGATAAAAATTAATGGACATACATAACGACACAAATAAGGCAAAAACAACAACATAAACACAAAGCTTCATACACATTCAAGACACAGTTACTGTCTGAAATTGGGACTGGTCTTAATGAACTGAGCTGTGGGAAGTGATATGTGCTTGTTGCTCATAATAGAATATTTTAAATGTATCTTTTACACTACTGGTACCAAAATTATTAATATGAATTTCTGCTTTGATGCAGTCTATGTGCCCTGCATGAATTATGTGAGTATAACTGGTGAGAGCCGGCTTTCGCAATTTATACTACACATACATAATATTTTTCTTTTTTGAAAACACTAATTAACAATTAAAAACTGTATGCGAGTCTATATCGCCACGAATGCCGCGACGATTCGCCACGAAAACACCGAAAAAAGCACCGTTTTGACGATCGCTCGTTTTACAAATTCTAAAGATAGCGCAATATGAACTCGTTTCGTGTGAGTTCGGAACCCGAACGAAAACATCAACAACGTTGAATTTACCTTCTATATTCCAGAATGGTCTATTAATTTATTCAGTTGAATTCCATGAGTGACGTCCGCGATCGAATGTGATTGGATATTGGGGTAAGTGCAAAAGTCATTTGAATATTCAAGCTTGAGTCTCGTGTGGATGATAGCGATAATCTCGAGACGAGTGGTCTGGGATATATATGTAGTTGTCTATCAATAGAAATACCGTGTAAAAAAATGTAATTTTATAACTGGCGAATGACTGCACGACAGAACAGAACTGGCGAATGACTGTACGACAGAACAGAACTGGTGAATGACTGCACGACAGAACAGAACTGGCAAATGACTGCACGACAGAACAGAACTGGCAAACGACTGCACAACAGAACAGAACTGG